GACATGTTTGGCCAAATTTACAGCTTTTGATCAACCATGTAAGATTCTGGAATAAAATTTTGATCAATAACCACAAATTATAAGCTTAAAAGGGGAAAGAAATTCCAGCTTTTGATGAATTTGTGTAAAGATTCTCAACTTGAGAATTGGACCCCAATTTGAAAAACATACTCTCTATGGGGTCATTGTTGATGCCAAAAAAACGAAAGCTGTAAACCATTTTTGGGGCACACAAAAACTTGGAAATTGACAGGAACAAAACAACCCAAAGCAAACCATGTCCCAACATCACAAAAACTTTCCACAACAAGAAAAGAAAAAATTAAAATCATCCACCAAAAAAAATTTAAGCATAGAAGAAAACCAAAAGATCCTTCAAAACATTAAACCCCACTTGAGGTTCCTTAACTAGATTATTTATAACATTATTGAATCAAATGGGGTCAAGAACCTAACCTCCTTTCAAGTTCTTAATTCAATAGAGTCAAACAAAAACACAGAGAACTACAAAAAATTGAATTTTGTGATGTTGACTTACATGATGTGAGAATCAGACCAGAGGATACTGTATTGATGATAATCTTCAGTAGGATCAAACCAAAGATTATATCTCTCTTCTCTTCCCAAATGAGTACTTCCATTACCATAAATATTTGTCTGAATCCTCCATTCTTTGCCTCTAATATTACCAAGAAACTCAAAATCTATCTCATCATGATTCTTCTCATACATATCTCCATTTGACATCTGAAAAACGAAATTAATCAGATTTCTATTACAAAAAGATCCTTAATTTGATAGTTCTAACCAAACCCAAGAGCTCAAAACTGTGAATTTAAAGCTAAAAAATGGTGAGATTTCAGATTTGTTAATACTTACATAAAAGGCAACAACAACACCAGCTGAATAATCAGAAGGTAATTTAATTGAAGCACTGAAGAATCCATGCAAGTAAAGATCATTTGAAACAAACCCAGAACCTGTAAGAAAAAAAATCAAAATCATCACTAAACCGAGAGAGAAGAAAAAACAGAGGAAAATTGAAAGAAATTAAAAACCGTACCGGTTCTTTCATCGAGTGTTAACCGGATAGATTTGCCATCTTTATGAACAATCAAGTTCTTGTCACCGAAAAGTTGTGTGTAACCTTCTTCAAACGATGTGATTGGAAGATTTTGCAGACCAAATCCTGAAACTAAACCGGAGAACAGAGACATGAACACAAAGAAATGACTCAAAGTTTCCATTTTTAAATTAACAAAACGCTTCTTCTGTGTGGTTATGTAAATTGAATAGCTTATAGGAAAGAGATAATATTATAGCTTGCGTAAGAAAGCTATGGAGGTTTTT